CAGCAGAGACGAATAAGTTCGGCAACTACTGGGCAAAGACAAGCGGCGAATGTTCAGCACGCCATCCAGACCGTCTGGTCGATCCTTGGGAGGCAGTTCTGGTGGTGAAGCTATTCTTCTTCGTTTTCATGTAACTGCGACGTCCTTTGCTCATCTGTCTGTTGGTTCCAAACTTCCCCAGGTGGTTGGTTTTACGGCAGTTGGATGGCATCTTTCTGGGAGAAACGTTGTCTTGAGTTCTTCACATTTGCGGCCCAAGTATGGTGTGCGTGGGCCCAACAAGGACACTTTCCGTTCGCTCACTGGATTTGTTCGGAGTCCGTCAGATCCTTGGGTGATCTTGGCAGATTGGAATCACAGGCCTGACGAGTCCATGAAGACAGGTTACCCCGAGCTGCTGGAGGCGGACTTCTTGCTTCCGCCGTGCAAGGTGACTTGCGATCAAGGGTCAGGTACGTTGATCGACACTGCGCTCATTTCCGACGGACGAAAGGACTTCGTCAGTCTGGAGCCTGAGTTGGAGGTGCCGTGGAAGACGCATTGTGGACTTCGTCGCACTATCAAGGTGGCTGAGGCAGATGTTGTGCCAGAAGTTGCGAGTGTCGCGTGCTCTACCTCATGTTGGTTGGCCTAAGGTTCTCCCTGACCCAAGGTCCAAACCGTCTCTGCGTCGAGAACTTCTACGTATTCAACGACGTGAACGGCCCCCTGAAGAGTTACGTGCTGCCTGAGGCTTATCCTGCTGCGGACCAGATCCAGCCAGATCCGTCAGCTGCGATCTACCATATCACCGAGAGGCAGTGGGAGATGGCGCGCAACGAAGAGGTACACCAGTTCGTGGCTGAGCCGAGGCATTCCTTGCATTGTGCGAGAGAAAAAGAAACTTAGAGTGTCAATGATCTGCTCGGTCGGTGGGTGTCTTCCCTGGAGAAAGTCATTCTGGACGCCTCGGAGGTTCCTGAGTCCGAGCGGGCTCCTTTCCTGGGCCGTGCCTGTGGTTCGAAGCTTGTCTGGGTAAAAGCCAGATCCCGTCCTGTACGTGCCCACCTGAAGAACGGAGCTGCTGAGTGGTGGGGGGATCTCACCACGCTTTTGTTTCGCTCGTCAGCTCTTCGTGAGAATGGTAGCGACGCGGCTCAGCATCGTCAATGTCAGCAACTCCTCAACAAGGTGTGTCTCCTGGCCCTCGACCCTCAGACTTCGGTGCTGGGCTCTCTTGAGCCGGAGGTTCGTGAGTTGCTGGGGTTGCTGGCTAATCTCGATTTAGTTTCCGATTCGGACCTGCCTGAGCTCAGGCAGCGCGCCCAGGTGCGCTATGGCAGGGCCTCGCGCAAGGCCGTTGCCGAAGGACGCAGCGGTTTTGAAAAAATGGGTCCAGGAGCAGCGGAAGGCCAAGCCAGGCCGGGCCCATGCTCACGTTAAAGCTTTGTCCAGGCCGTCCCCCGAGATTTGTTGCTTCTGGCAAAACGTTGTCGGATCCCGTCTCGGCAATGAGATCGAAGCGAGAATTTTGGCAACGGGCGTGGACAGACCCTGTAGATACTGCTTCTGATTTGCAAGCTGCGGTGGACCGAGCCCTGCAGAGAGCTGCTGAGGACCCTCTTCCCCCTCTCGAGCCCGAGGAGGTCTCCTCGCTCCTGTCGCGTTCGGTTCCTCGAAGGGCTCCTGGGGTTGATGTGATCTCGGTCCAAGACATCCAACGTCTGCCCCCGTCTGCTATTGCCGATCTCACGCAGCTGTTCAATCTTGTAGAGAAGCTCGGAGTGTGGCCTGAACAACTGTTTGTCACCTTGAGTGCGCTGTTGCCGAAGCCAAAGGGCGGTGACCGCACCATAGGGTTGATTTCTACGGTGTTAAGATTTGGAGTAAACTGAGAGCTGGTTTTGTTTCTTCCTGGGCTGAGTCCCTGGGGGCCTTCTGGGGCGCGGCCATCCGTGGGAGTTCCTCTCTCCGTGCGGCTCTGGATGAAACCGCGTTCCTCCTGGGGGCCCAGATTGCCACTCTCCTTCTCGACATTGAGAAGTTCTATGATCCCCTTCAGTCTGGTACTCCTTGTCCAGACTGCGGAGAAGCTCGAATTTCCTGTCATTGCGATTGCTATGGAATTACATGTGTACTTGGCACCTAGGCTTCAGGAAGGAGCAGGTGGAGTCAGCGATCCTGTGTGGCCGAGTAGGTCTATTGTTGCGGGCTCTCACCCTGGTGCCCCAAGTGCCAAGATGTTATTGTTTCCGATTTCGCAGAAGGCCCACGTTGTCAGGCCAGGCGACAGCGTGCAGCTCTGTTTTTTCATTGACGACACCGTTGCTAGATGCGAAGATCATCCGACTTTCGTTCAGCCGGCTTTTTCTATGGTTTCCCAGGCTCTCGTCCATGGGGCTTCGGGAGCAACGGTTGGTGATTTCGGACAAAACTTGTCTGCTGTGTACCAGTAAGAGTCTAGCGAACTCGCTGAGTCGTTTTCTCCTCGGCTTGGAGGTGCCTTGTCAGGTCGTCAAGGCTGCCGTCGATCTTGGAGTCGATACTGCTCAAGGCAAAGCGAGGAGAATTGCCAAGTCGAAGGGGCGTCTCAAGAAGGCGGCTCATCGTTTCGGTCGAATTCGCAAGGTGAGGAGGTCTGCCAAGACAAGTAGAATCTCTCAGAGTTTGTGGGCCATCAGTGTAACGGTTTTCCCCCCCCTTGGTGGCGGTCAAGCTTCGCCGCCAAGCCGCGCAGGCCATTGCGGGCAAGGGGGCTGGCAGGTGTCTCACGTCAATACTGTGTCTGCACATGGGTAGGAAGGAGCCCGCGCTTGAGCTCCGGCGCCAGCTGGTCTTCGAGTAGCTGGTGGTTTGGCGATCGACTCCATCCCTTCACCCTCGGGTCCTTCGCGCGTGGTCGTTCTTGCGTCCTCGACTGTTGGGTCCCAAGACCAGGTGGGCTCGCGTCAAGGGCCCAGTCAGTGCAGTCATTGCTGTTTTATATGGTGCGGGACGGTCTTCCCGCCTGGCCAATGCTTGGACCAGGCCGTCTGCTCAGGGGGAGGAGACCTGGCAGTTGCCAATGGCGTCTGATCCACGGTTCGAGGCCCAAGATGCCGACTTCACCGAGTTGTTAGATGAACTTTTAGACGACATTCAGAATAAGTTGCGGCGCCGGGCTTCGGAGCCCTTCGAAGGGGGTGGTTTGCAACTGGGGGGTGGCGACTTGTACTGTGCTCGACAGGAGGCCAAGCGCTTCGAGAAGCGTCAAGAGTTTTTGTCGCTAGGGTTTGAGAATGCGGTTGTTGCAGGGGGACAGTGGCCGCGGGACAGGATGGCCGATTGCGGCTACGAAGTCTCGCGCATCTGTTCCAGGTGTGAATCTGAAGAGGAAACGCTTTTTTCATCGCATCTGGACATGTTGCAAAAACGTAGGTGGAGAATTTGTGAAGTCCGATTGTTTGTTGATGCAGGCTCAGGCTCAGCATCAATCCTGTCCTGCTTTTTGGTTGAGAGGCATTCCTCCCTGCGATTGGACTCACCCCCCCGTGGCGCAGCGCTATCCTGTTGAGCAGGTGGTGCTGTGCGGCCCTGATTCCTTCGGAGTTCTTGAACCCCGTCCCGATTTCGGTCGGGTCGTTCTGTTCGGCGATGGCTCTGGAGGAAAATTCAGCTCTGGTGTGCGTCGGCGGCGTTGCGGTTACGCTGTAGTGGCGCTCAAAAGAGCTGAAGGGGGTGAGTGGGTCCTGTCCGCGGGTGCTCGTTCTGTTGTCGGTGGGCGTAGGCAGACGGTCCCCAGGGCCGAACTCAGTGCTTGCGCCCTCGCTCTGGAGTCTGTGCAGGGCCCCTTTCAGTTCGTGACTGATCATCAGCCTCTCGCGCGTGCGTGGCTGTCTGGCAGGGTTCGTTCCATGGTTGGCTCCAATCCGGACCTCTGGAGTCGCATCAGGGTCGCCCTTGGAGATATTTCCCAGGACAGCGTTCAGATTAAAGTGATTCCGTCTCACACTGAGGCGGGAGAGGATGATATTGACCCGTTCCTTATTCAGGGCAACGCTCTGGCTGATGAAGGGGCGGGTTTGGCGGCGGGAGAGGGGTCGTTGTCGTGTCGTGTCGACTCTTTTGAGACGGATCGGTGGGATGCCATGGGGGTGCTTGTTCGAGCAAGGGCTCGTAAAGCGCTTGAGTTGGCAGCCGACGCGGACCCCTGGAGTGGCGAGAGGCTGCCCAAGGACCGCAAGCCCCCCGCCTCCGCTCTCTCTCGTGCCCTTGCTTCTTCCAGTCACCAGCTTTGTTCTGTCAACAGTAAGTTTCGGTGCGACAAATGTCGGATTGTGGTCCCAGTGTCCAGAATCCTTGAGGTCGCGGCCACCCCGTGCCAAGGCCTCCTCCCTGCCCGTGAGTTTGGTCCAGGGGGCTCAGGTGATGTGGCTGCGGGAGTTTCTGTGCACCCGTCCCATGTCGTGCAAGATAGGGATAATATTGTCTCACGTTCTGCAGACAGTGCGGGCACTATGCAACCCTCGATGGTCGTTACCTAGAGGCCGCCTGCGAGCTTGTTACTCGTAAAGGGCGAGAGAATTTATCTCGCATCGACAAGGGCTTGTATCCGAGGCGAGAAGGTGTGCCGGCTAGGCTTCAAGCTGTGTTGGTGCAGCGAGGTCTCGGCTAGCCCTCTTTTCCCACGCACATGTCCAGCGCTTAGCCAAATAGTTCAAATAGTTCCTCCTCCTCCTCCTCCTCCTCCTCCTCCTCCTCCTCCTCCTCCTCCTCCTCCTCCTCCTCCTCCTCCTCCTCTTATATCCCCCTCTATCCTCCTCCTCGTCCTCCTCCTCCTCAGTCTCCTTTTCCTCCACCTTCTCCTCCTCCTCCTCCTCCTCCTCCTCCTTCTTCCACTCCTCCTCGTCTATATGCAGGGAGGCGCTGGGAAGGAGGAGGCGAATACTGCTCCCCTGGGCGGCATTGCGGGCAAGACCAGGGAGCCAGGCGTCGTTGGCCGGGGGATCTCGACAGCAGCTTCCTGGCCACGGAGTCCACAGGATATTACTTGGGCAAAGATACCGAAAGCACCAAGGACTTTGCGAGCGTGGAGGGGGGCGAGGGCGCAGCTGAAGTCTGAGCGCGACCTTTGCACCGACGCGGGCACCGCTGAGCCCGAAACCTCCGGCAAAGTTACCGAGGCCATCATGGACCCGACGACTGAGGTGCACAGGGTGCACATGCTGACGCACGAGCTGCACCTGGACACCTTGGACGATGAGGGCAGGACGAAGGCCGTCGGCGAGTTGCTGAGGCTGGTCCTCCTCCTCCTCCTCCTCCTCCTCCTCCTCCTCTATCCTCCTCTATCCTCCTCCATCCTCCTCTATCCTCCTCTATCCCCTTCTATCCTCATCCCCCTCCTCCTCTATCCTTCTCTCTGCTCCTCCTCTTCCTCCTCCTTCTCCTCCTCCTCTTGATTTCGATGTGAAGGCCGTGGCCGACATCATCAAGGGCGAGCTCGTGTACGGGCGACGCGCTCAGGCAGGAGATCCGCGCAGTGGACTCCTGAGCGTGCCGCCGTCGATACAGTCAATCGGTTGATGGACTTCGGCCGTTGGTTGTCGGCGTCTCCGCCGTTGGACTCGGCTCGGAGGCTTTGGAGGCTCAACCCCGAGGCCTGGAGGAGCGGAGGGCTTGAGCCGCGGTGCCACGTGTCCCTCGGCCAGGGGCCTGACCCAGCAGGCCCCAGGCGTGCTCTTTCAACCCTGCGCGGAGCACGGGGCGCCCGTGGGGCGCGACGCCCCTGGACCGCTGCATGCCTTCAGCCTTGAGCCTTCAGCCCTCGGCTTTCAGCAGCCTCCTCCTCCTCCTTCTCCTCCTCCTCTTCCCCCTCCTCCTCCTCCTCCTCCTCCTCCTCCTCCTCCTCCTCTTCCCTTCCCTCCTCCTCCTCCTCCTCCTCCTCCTCCTTGTCCTCCTCTTCCTCCTCCTCCTCCTTCTCCTCCTCCTCCTCCTCGTCCTCCTCCTCCCTCCTCCTCCTCCTCCTCCTCCTCCTCTCCTCCCTCCTCCTCCTCCTCCTCCTCCTCCTCCTCTTCTCCTCCTCGTCCTCCTCCTCCTGCTCCTTGTCCTCCTCCTCCTCCTCCTTCTCCTCCCCCTCCCGTTCCTCCTCCTCCCCCTCCTCCTTCTCCATCTTCTCCTCCTCCTCCTCCTCCTCCTCCTCCTTCTTCTCCTCCTCCTCCTCCTCCCTCCTCCTCCTCCTCCTCCTCCTCCTCCTCCTCCTCCTCCTCCTCCTCCTCCTCCTCCTCCTCCTCTCTCCTCCCCGCGCCCCGTGCCGCTCCGGCGTCTCCCGAGGCGTCGTCGTGCCCTCGACCTGGGAGTGGCCCAGTGCATGTGGTTGTGTTGGCCCTCGGGGCCGAAGAAGTGTGCACGATGCCGCGCTGGAGCGGGGCCCAGAGGGACCCCAGGCGTGGCACGGTGCACGGGTGCCGTTCTCTCCCAGACCACCCGCGCTTCGCGGTAGATGGCAGCAATCACGCAGCCGGAACTAAAAGAAAGGAAGAGAACATGGGTGGAGGAGGAGGAGGAGGAGGAAGAGGAGGAGGAGGACAAGGACAAGGACACCGAGGAGGAGGAGGAGGAGGAGGAGGAGGAGGACAAGAATGAGGAGGAGGACGACGACGAGGACGAGGAGAGGAGAAGGAGGAGGAGGAGGAGGAGGAGGAGGTGGAGAGGAGGAGGAGGAAGAGGAGGACATAGAGGACAAGGACACCGAGGAGTAGGAGGAGGAGGAGGAGGAGGAGGGACAAGGAGGACTAGGAGAGGAGGACAGGAGGAGGAGGAGGAGGAAGAGGAGGAGGACAAGAGGAGGAGGAGGAGAGGAGGAGGAGGAGGACAAGAATGAGGAGGAGGACGACGACGAGGACGAGGAGGAGAAGGAGGAGCACTGCTCGACGGAGCTCCCCCGCGTCTCCCCCGAGGCCAGACGTCGCCTTCTGGTCGCCGCTGCCGTCCGGCTGGGGCTTCCCGCCGGACCACTTGCGGGGGCGGGCTGGGAGCAGATCGGTTGCTCAGAGACAGTCTGCTTCCCGTTCTCTTCCAATGCTCCCTCACATTATGCTTTTTCCCAACCCTCCTTGGTTGGGCATTCGTTTTGAATAGAGCACTGTGGTCGCGTCCCTCCTCCTCCTCCTCCCGCCTCCCGCTTCCTCCTGCCCCCTCTTCGCCGACGATGGGGGCTGCGATCTGCGAAACTGTCGCCACTTTCGAGGGCTGCTGGTGGGTCCTGCGGAGTGAGGCACCGCGCGGACCTGAGCGGGACCTCGCCGTCCCTGGGGTGCTGCGATCTGCGGAGCTGTCGCCACTTTCGAGGGTTGCTGGTGGGTCCTACGGAGTGAGGCACCGCGCGGACCTGAGCAGGACCTTGCCGTCCCTGGGGGGCTGCGATTTGCGAAGCTGTCGCCACTTTCGAGAGCTGCTGGTGGGCCCTGCGGAGTGAGGCACCGCGCGGACCTGAGCGGGACCTCGCCGTCCCTGGGGTGCTGCGATCTGCGAAGCTGTCGCCACTTTCGAAGGCTGATCGTGGGTCCTGCGGAGTGAGGCACCGCGCGGACCTGAGCGGGACCTCGCCGTCCCTGGGGGGCGATCTGCGATCTGCTGAAATTGTCGCCACCCTGGGGGGCTTTGAGGGATGCTGGTGGGTCCTGCGGAGTGAGGCACCGCGCGGACTGAGCGGGACCTCGCCGTCCCTGGGGGGCTGCGATCTGCGAAACTGTCGCCACTTTCGAGGGCTGCTGGTGGGTCCTGCGGAGTGAGGCACCGCGCGGACCTGAGCGGGACCTCGCCGTCCCTGGGGCTGCGAGCGAAGCTGTCGCCACTTTCGAGGCTGCTGGTGGGTCCTGCGGAGTGAGGCCCGCGCGGATCTGAGCGGGACCTCGCCGTCCCTGGGGGGCTGCGATCTGCGAAACTGTCGCCACTTTCGAGGGCTGCTGGTGGGTCCTGCGGAGTGAGGCACCGCGCGGACCTGAGCGGGACCTCGCCGTCCCTGGGGGGCTGCGATCTGCGAAGTCGCCACTTTCGAGGGCTGCTGGTGGGTCCTGCGGAGTGAGGCACCGCGCGGATTGAGCGGGACCTCGCCGTCCCTGGGGGGCTGCGATCTGCGAAGCTGTCGCCACTTTCGGGGCTGCTGGTGGGTCCAGCGGAGTGAGGCACCGCGCGGACCTGAGCGGGACCTCGCCGTCCCTGGGGGGCTGCGATCTGCGAAGCTGTCGCCATTTTCGAAGGCTGCTGGTGGGTCCTGCGGAGTGAGGCACCGCGCGGACCTGAGCGGGACCTCGCCGTCCCTGGGGGCTGCGACCTGCGAAATTGTCGCCATTTTCGAGGGCTGCTGGTGGGTCCCTGCGGAGTGAGGCACCGCGCGGATCTGAGCGGGATCATGCCGTCCCTGGGGGGCTGCGATCTGCGAAGCTGTCGCCGTTTTCGAGGGTTGCTGGTGGGTCCAGCGGAGCGAGGCACCGCGCGGACCTGAGCGGGACCTCGCCGTCCCTGGGGGGGTGCGAGCCTCACGACTGCCGCTCGCAGAAGTATATGCGCCCATGTCACGTCATCACCTCCGTATAACGTCTCCCAAGCTACTCATGCCCCGCATTGCGCAGGGGTTGGGTACGTCGCTAGGGATATATATATATATATACACACATATATATATACATACATACATACATATATATATGTATGGTATCTGTTCTGAACGACGCTCCTTTGGCACTTCGTGCATCCGTTCTTCTTGGATCCCACGCGTTTTGGCGGCTCTTGGTGTCGAGAGTGTGTAGGTGGACGTATCGATCACGAGAAGTGCGCTGTCCCCTGTTACAAGAAATCCTCGAGACGGGCTCGGAAATAACGTTTACGAAGACCGACAGTAGTTCCTATCCATTTGAACCAGATTCGTTGTCGGCGTCGTTGCGGGCGTTGTCCACTCGAGACAGAAGGACGCCTGCCCAACAGCGGCCGCTGTCTGTTTTGGGCAACAGTTGCTTTCGGGCAGGGTACCCTGTCTTTCCTTATCCATATCGGGCGTCCCAACTTGAGATACATCGAATTGGAACAACAAGATGAAGGTCGTTCGCTTTTTTCGACCTCCAGAGGCCCTCGCTGGGCCTCAGGGCAGTCAAGGAACGACTCAGGATGAGAAGTTGGTCCCCTAGCCCACATGGGAATGTATCCCCGAGCCCCCCCTCCTTTCCGGGACGGCCTGATCTGTCTGCGAAAGGTCAGCGGCTGGAGGCGAGACATCGCCTGCGAGGAACGCTCGGGAACGATGGATCCTGGACCTGGCCCCGACCGAGGCAGGCAAGACGCCCGCCCGGCCAGCCAGGCCCTGCAGCACGCTCTGGAGCCCAGAGATCCGGCATCTTGATCTGTCTCGGCCCTCCTTTGGTTGGGTTCTCCCTGTGAATAGGGCGCTGCTCGCGCGTCCTCCTCCTCCTCCTCCTCCTCCTCCTCCTCCTCCTCCTCCTCCTCCTCCTCCTCCCGCTTTCTCCCTCCTCCCTCCTCTCCCTCCTCCTCCTCCTCCTCCTCCTCCTCCTCCTCCGCATCCGCCTCCTCCTTCCCCTCCTCCTCCCCCTCCTCATCCTCCTCCCCCTCCTCCTGACCGCCGCCTCATCCCCTGCTCTCCTCCTTTTCCTCATCTTGCTCCTCCTCCTCCTCCTTTTCCTCCTCCTCGTCCGTCTCCTCCTCCTCTTCCTCCTCCTCCCCCTCCTCCTCCTCAACTTCCCTGCTTCATCCCTCTTCTTCCTCTCTTCCGCCTCCTCCTCCTCTTCCGTCCTGCATGCTCCCTTCTCTCCTTCCTCCTGTCCTGCTCGCGGTCTCTGCGGGGCTGCGATCTGCAAGACTGCCGCCTCTTTCTTGGGCTCCTGGAAGGTCCAGCGGAGGGGTGCATTGCGCAGATCGGAACGAGGCCTCGCCGTCCCTAGGGAGGGGGCTGCGATTTGCGAAACCATCGCCACTTTCGTGGGCTCCTGGGATGTCTGGCCCAGGGGTGTCTTACGCAGATCAGGATGAAGCCTCGCGGTCCCTGGAGGGCTGCGATGGGGCGCCACGCAACGCATGGCGCTGTCCAGTGTCCATGCCACACCCCCTCCTCAGTTGCCTCTTGACCGTAATGAGCTCGGACATTTGAAGCGATCCGTGCAACGCGCCGTTCTGTGTTATATAGCGCGCATGGCGCTGTTCTGCAACGCGCATGTAGCGTGCGGGCGGCGCTGATACTCCCTCCAATCAATTCTACATCTGTCCCTCCTCTGTATGATTCGACACCCG